TCTCTCTCTCTCTTTGCGAGTTACAGCTCTTGTAATTTCGAAGTCAATGTACTTGACCAAAGTCAGGATATTGAGCGATAGGGAAATTCTTAACGCAGGATGGAGGAAATAAGTCAATTCTCAATGTACTAGACCAAAAACCGTTCTTCAACTGTGTAGAAAAAAGTAATTAGCCAGCGTTTAGGTGATCATATTTCTCTGAGCTTCTTTAAAAAAGGAAAATGATAAACGGGGACGATTCAAACTTTTATATTTTGCACATCAGTTATGTTTACCTAAGCCGTCGCGATTAAAACCTGTTGCAGTATGTATTTTATTGGTTTTCCACAGCTTAATATACTATATAATTGCTTCAGAGGGGGACCTACGAATTTAATGTTCTTTCTCTGTCACGATAAAGCCAAGCTCGAAGCAGCGCCCAGTTACCTCATCTAGATGCTGCCCCCCCCCCCTCACACCAGGGCAGAGCTACTGACTGAAGTGTCTTTAGGCCATTCCCGAAAGAGGGGATATTAACATGTTCTGAAGAACAGTAGAATTGTAAATGGACTAATTTATCAATGTCATGCTTATACTGTGACGGAATAACATAGATAGATAGATAGATAGATAGATAGATAGATAGATAGATAGATAGATAGATAGATAGATAGATAAACGGCTTCTCGGATTTATCAACTGGATCGTGTTCCGAAACTTTTAAATTCCACTCCATTTTAAAAACAATACCTTAAAAATATGTTATTTTCTCAGAACACTTTACACGTGCACACGGTCTGCTGACAATAGGAAAACTTCCCTTGGTATTTTTGTTCTGATTTCGTCATAATATTATTATTATTTTCACACATTTATTCCTAAAAAATCAAATTATATTAACAAGTCTAAATTTTCACCTATGAACTTAGTTCTGACACAAATTGTCACCATAATCTTATTCAAAGATCTTTTAGCTAGCGTCTGTATTTCAAATAATATGTCAAGCAAATAACTGCAGGCTTCTAAGGTCAGGTAGCCTTACACCTTTGCACTAAATAGGACAAAATATTACATCATACAAATATGTCCTACTTTGAGATTGCATGAACAGGAAACCAAACTAACAGCGAGAAACGCTGTAAATACTGCCAACTGATTAGGAACCGGTTTTATTTGGTTTCTTGAGGTACGTTTATGTCCCAAGCCGGTTATAACCAGTTTCAGTAAGGATCGGAGTGCGTGCCAGAAGTGTTTGGTAAGTTGCCAAGGACTGTCACTCATTCAGGAGCTGATAATAGAGTAAAAGAGAGAGAATGATAGAGAGAGATAAAGAGAGAGAGAGAGAGAGAGAGAGAGAGAGAGAGAGAGAGAGAGAGAGAGAGAAAGAGAAGGAGGCGCGGAGAGAGTGTGGGAGAGAAAGATGTTTACATTGCGATTTCACTAAGCCAATGGT